GGGTATGTGGGTTAGTGCCGGGAAGGCCCTGGAATAGCCCTTGGCCCTAGTCAGGATCCATCTCACCAAATGGTAGGTAGCATTTATTCTGAATAAAATAAAATCTTTGCAAAAAAAAAAAAAAAATCCATCTTTCTGAGACTCATGTGCTTCTGCTGGCACCAGGCAATGGCTCATCCCATGACAGTTCAGCCAGCAGGTGCCATCTTTTTGCCAGTGTCCTTTGTCATTTGTGGGCTTTGGGGTTTTAGAAATCAGGCCCGTGAGGCCTTGAGACGTTGCTGGGGAAGAAATGCCAGCAGAGGAGAGAGGAAGATGGGGCGGGGTGGGGGCGTGAGAGCCTGCACCGGCACCCGCCAGACTCCTGAGTGATTTTGTGCCTTGCCCTTGAGTGATTCTGTCCACTCAGCCACCTCACAGAGACGGTCAGGGTGCCAAATGGGCACTGTGCAGGTCAAGTGCCCCATGCCATCATGAGCAGAGCCCTCCACCTTGGTGACGCTGGGTGCCCGTGTGAACCGAGTGCGTCTCTGGTGAGCCAGGCCTGTGCCGTCTCAGAGGCTGCTATCTCTGTTGTGTGTTGCAGCAAGACCAATGTCACAGTGCAGACCCGGGCATGTTCCTTATCTCGGTGGACAAAGTCCCTTTGCAACACTCAGGCCTGCAGGTCAGCAGCTCCGCCATTTTCCGTCTCTTCCCAGAGAGATGGGGGGTGATTTGCTGGAGTGGAGGCTTGGACGTTAGGAATGTGATGTTGTCAACCCCACCCATTAGTCTGGGCCGCCTTCACCCAAGGTATTCATTCGTTTGGTGTAGCTTTGTTTGGAGTTATCTGTTCAAACATATTTGAAGGATAACACTGTAGGGCAATCAGATTCATTCAGAGGTCCATTTGTGCATATGTGGATGGGCGTGTGTTTATGCATTTGTGGATAAGCATAAGTAGGTGTATATGTTTACACATACATGTACATATAATCTAGATTAAAACTGAAATGAACTCAAGCCACATTGTTTACCTGTGACGTCTTATTTCCACCAGGCAAGCAATGGGGCAGGCAGAATCCACCGCACATTTTGGCCTTACTGAGCTAGACCCTTTGGCTTCCGCATGCTCCTGTTTTGAACTGTGGTCTCCTCGATATACATCTCACTTCCCATATGGAAGTGCAATTTGAGGATGAATGTAGCATCTTTGCATTATTTTTTAACCTACACACTCTGATAAGAAAAATGCATATATATGTGTGTGTTTATATATAGACATATCTATTTTTGTATGTATGTAGTCTTTAAGTATTTTAAGGTAAAAGTAAAAGCACACTTATAAAGGTCAGTTGAGGAAATGTCTGTGTGTTTGGAATGGGAAGAGACAGATTTTAGAAAACAAAACATTCAGAATATAGAATCTCTTAAAAGGAATGCATTTTGCTTTAAATTTCCATGTAACTTACTCCGATTTCTGAAATGACCACAAGTACTGGATTCTTTGGGCTGGCTGCTTGTGAACAGGTGTGAGTACTTCCTGATTTTGTGTGTCTGGTGCATTTCTTGTTGAGTAGGTTGGATATGATGTGGAGTCTTACATCCCGTTCACACCCTGTGCTGTCTTTCTTCCTGGACGTGGGCAGAGTCTGTGGCTCTATGTTTCCAGGGCAGGGATCACAAGGGCGGAGGGTCAGCTCTGGGCCTCTGAGCCCTTGGGAAGTGTTGGCAGCAGCTTAGGCACTGAGGGGTCACTCCTGTGCACCCCGGACCTGGAGAGGCCCTGTGAGTGGCAGTCTCAGATGGCTCAACACCACAACTCTCTCTTTTGCCACATTAGGTCGGTGCTGGGGCTTTCTAATCTTTATGTGAGGGCCCCTTTGCCTGCGTTTCTGAGTGTAAGGAATGTGTCCAGGTACTGACTGGGCTGGGATCTTGGAGGGCCAGCTCACAGGCATTGGAACTGAGAGATCCACGGTGTGGAATGTAACAGAAGCCTAGGGACCTGAGTTCAACTTCTGGTTTTCCACGTCATCAGCCGTATTTCTGGGACACACTGTCTCCACCTGTGGACCTTGTGGGGCAGGTGTGAGGTAAAACGTACAGCAGAGTGTGCAAGCATTTTAAAAATCAAAACGTGCTGGCTGCCATCATCACCATGGTCAGTATGATTGTCATGTCCGGCAAACATGTCCGGAAAAATCCAGATGTATTTTTCCAAGCACCTCAGACTCCTTCTGACCCGACCCTCTCTGACCTGCCATGGGAGGCCTGAGGGTGGACCTTGCAGAATCCCTTTGCTGGGATGTCCCCCGCTCTGTGACGATGCCCGGCACAGGGCCAGTGCCTTCCTGCAGGCATGTCTCAGGCAGCCCGGCCGCTGCAGGCCCTGGGCCGTTTATTTTGGTTACATCCATGTTGCCATAATTGTGGACAAGACGGCGTGACCAGGGCGAGGTGTCTGAAATGTGCACAGCCCCAGCAGATGTCATCTAAGTTTTAATTTCAATAATTGCCTCTGTACGCCTGTCATTTGCTCCGTTAAATAGCCTGGCATCAGATGTGTGGGGCTGGCTACACGACCAGGAGGAGAACCAGTGCCGCCGTTCACTGGACTTGGAAGGTGTTGGGGATGAGAGAGGGCCCCGTCGTCTGCCCTAAGAGGGAGACATGGTGAGGATGCCCCATCTCTGAGTCTGCACCACCCGCTTCTTTGCAGAGGGATGAATTGAAATCCCCTGCAATCCACTCCACCCACACGGGCCCCCACCCAGCCTTCCCCGTCTCACCATCACTCCTATTGTAGCCGAGGGGGGAAAGAGCGATTTTTAAAGATTTGCTAATGGTAATGAAAAATATTCTGATATAGCATTAAGGATTTTGCTCCTGAAATGTGTTTAATGTAAATATGCTGTCAGAGACCCTTCAAGTAATTGACACAAGCAGATGATTAGCAGTGTTCTCAACGGTGTTTTTGCATAATCTTACGTTTTGACAGAACTCCTCAGGCGCACGGTATTGTCAGTGCTCCGCAATCAGTAGGACTTTCTTCCCTGGCAACATTTACTTTGTCATTATAAATCTTGTAAGTGGTCATCTAGCCGGTTCTGGGTGGATGGAGGAGTGTCATTACTAACGCATTTGGGGCTATGACTTCCTACCGAGAATCTGTCCTGAAAAGTAAACTTCTTACCAACTTGGATCACATCAGAGGAGCCACTTAGCAGCCCTGACCCCGGGCTTGTGGGGCCGCCGTAGACGGCTGGGGCGTCAGCTCCGTGCACGCTGTGGGGCCTGGAACAGAAGGTGGTGTGGCGAGTGCATCGCTAGAGAGGCCTGGGCCCGGACCAGCTCTCCTGGGGCCGCCTCTCCCCAGGAATTCACCCTTTGGGAAGCTGGTTATAACCTAGCTACTTTCCAAGCTAGGTTGGTTTTTCCTTTTTGTCCACTTTGAATTGAGTTCATCTATGGTGATATAAAAAAAAATTTGTGTTCAATTATAATCATATCCAACT